GTTAAAACAAAAGTTACGTCATTGTTTAATCATACTGCTTTTCATCATCTTGTAGAAATACACAGTGTGATGGTAAAATATTTTATTTGTAAAAGGTTTGTATGAGACATTGTAAAAGTCAAACATTTGAACAGCAGTGTGTGTGTGTGTTTGTGTGTGTGTGTGTGTGTGTGTGTGTGTGCGTGCGTGCTTGTGTGTGTGTGTGCGTGTGTGTGTGTATTAGACTAACCTGCGGGCCCGGATCGACACTTCAGTAGTTTGATCTCCTGTTCTCTCTCCTCCAGCACTTGCTGTACGATGGCCTGATACTCTCTCTCCTTCTCTATTAATTCCTCCAACAACCTACAGCACACAAACCAACACAGCATAAGTTTATAACTTTAGATCATGACAGAAACTGCCCAGAGTAGTTAAATATACGACTTTCCATATAATAAAAGTGAATGGGGATTCAAACGGTCAAAAAGCACCCTAATAGTGAAAATAGTGTTTCAATAATGCAAACGAGTTTTTATGGTGTTTTTATGGTCTTACATTTTTGGCAGGCCCATTAACCATTCACTTTAATTATATGCAAAAAGTAAAACTAACCCCAACACCACACCGCAGTCAGGAGTCTTATACGGTGACTGGCATTCATTATTTGTTACAGAGTCTGTCATTTGCATGTGTACAAATGCACTCAACACTATATATTAGAGCTGCAGATACAGCAAAACAAAACCACTTACCTCTTGGTTTCTAGCTTCATGCGACCCAGCTCCATGCTAATCGATCGCTGAGCGCTCTGAGACTCATGGGAAACTGTTGAACTGAGCGTGCTCACTCCAGATGTGGCCACAGTGTCGTCATGATGAGCGATAGGTGGCGCTCTATCCTTAAGGGCAGCGTTCCCCTGAGGAACTGTGTCGTCATCAATGTCCTCTTGCTCAGCGGGGTCGCTCTCAGACGCCAGCGTGAAGTGTGGCCGCAATTCTGAGAGTGAACAAACACATCAGATGAACTGTTCCTGGAGCCTCCCCAGGGCTGCACATTTTGTCATTTACTGGACACAACCGGGTCAGATCATGGAGCACATCACCAATAAGCTGAATAGTCAATTCAGTTGTGTTAAATAAGGGGGACATCCAAACTGTGCAGCGCTGGGGGGCTTCAGGAACTGTTAGAAATGCCCTGCCTTCAATGAACAGCTGCCAAGAAAATGGATTGTTTTAAAAAGAAACTCTGTTGCTGTTTACCAGGTACTAATATGATGATGGCAGTCTGTACAGCCTTTCGAATGATGTTATCCAGGGCAAACATCCAGTGCGGCTTTATGTTGTGGTTATGAAGGACTTTATTTACCTGGAGAAATACAAAATGTTGGGCCATAACTATAATGAACTTCAGGAATTTTATTGAAATGTCACATTAAGTTTGAACTTCAGAAAAAAGTCATCGAGTTTTTCAAGTCAACATGAAATTGCATTGGTTATTTTTAGTAAAACATAATACCATAATGTGATCATTTCAGGTGAAGCAAGAAGTAAAAATATTGCAGGATTTTTATAAATTAAGGTGCGATCACATTTACCTCTGTCTGTGAAATTCTTCATTTCAATAGGAATCTGTGTGTTTGGTAGTTTCAATCAAGGGGCGAAAAAGTTCCCCATGCAGATGTTACTCAGATTTCGCGAATTTGCTGCACTGCCCAACAGAAAGTGGCTTGGTTTGAAAGTGACTTCTGTGTGAGCAGTGCTTCATACATCGCTATACCAATGACAACTGAAAATTGTAGGGCTGCCCTCGACTAAGGATTTTTTTGGTCGACTAGTAGTCGTTCATTTTAAAGGAACACGCCACTCACCTGCTTGCACAGGGAGCGTGCTGAGGACTATTTTCAGGCGCTGGTTAATATATAGTTGGAAAATTAGCCTATTTTCAAAAATAGTGGAGTGTTCCTTTAAGCATTAGTCGACTAATCGCACGTTTATTAATAAACCAGTTAAATCATTATAATGATCTTTTAATTGCCTACAAAGCTTAATAAGCGCTCAAGCGCACGCATAAAGCTTGCCACAGCACACCGCAGAAGCTATGATTATGAATGTGATCATAAAGAAAGCGCATTCTGTTTGCTTTCATTATTTTACAAAAGCGCAATGTTTTGTTGTTATTGTGAGTGCACACAAATAAGCGTAGAGTCTTTACAGATGTGAAAGATGTATTACTCTTATCTGTATGAGCAAAAATGAGGGAGTATTTTAAGAGCAAGTGAGCGCAGCGGCGCCTCCATCTGTCCTGCAGCAAGAGCTACTGTTCAGCTCCACACACACTTGAACAGCGCACATTTCTTTAGGTTAACATTAGATTGAGCAGCCATGTAACGTCGCTGCTACTTACATATTGCAGATGATAAGCCATATTTGTGGTGGATGCATGATAGGCGAGCGTTTGGATGTCCTGTCTTACCATAGACCAGCCGTTAAAGATCTGCGTGACTTCGCCAATGTGTATTTTTTTTTTTCTGCGACTAAGCCACTAATACAATTTTGGTCGACCAAGCCTCTTCTGGTCAACTAACGATTAGTCGACTATTAGGGGGCAGCCCTAGAAAATTGACAATTTTCTGCCCACAAAATTTAGCCAATATTTGCATGCCTTAGTGTCAATTCCGCTCAGTTTGCTCAGATCTGATTTTTTTTGTATAGCTGTTCACATTTTTGTTTTAAATGTGGCCAATATCAGATTTCCAGTGTGAACAGATCATGGTTCTGAACTGACCCACATGCGCAAAAGAACAACATGAACAGGACAGAAGGATTTTCACAACCAAATCTGCCCAATTGCTTCTCAAAACTAGTCCAAAACTAGCCCAACTGCGTTCCAGGGGGGTCTATATCACGTTACTGTGTGCTGACCTTCAGCCCACAGACTTGAAAAACAACAGTGAAAAAGTAGCCCAATTCCGAAGGAAACCTGTGGACTTGGCAACACTTGCGCAGCACGCTGTCATACAGAAGTAAACACGGAGGACATAAAGTAAGCGATTATGCGTTTATTTATAGTGTGATCTGCCGCAGAAGCCAGCGAAATTATGCGCAGTCAATATGAAAAATAAAGACAAGGATGTGACAGAAGAGAGCAGAGTTTTGAAACGTTTATGATACGAGCCCTTGTGCTTTGCTTGTATATAGAGTTGTCACTGTAATACACATGAGTTCTGACACATCACACTTCCACTGATTACCTTTCGCAACTGTCTTGATAACTTCGGCTGTGTAAAATCTTTGAAGTGACTCCCGTCAGCGCACAATCGTGACAAATGTTGATCTAGAGTGACGTAAAAGTCGCATGAATTCCGACATGACCGTTCACATCTGACCTGTATCGGATTTAACACCACATATGGAAGTGGCACAAATCGGAATTGAAAAGATCTTATTCCATGTGGTTTGTGCTGTTCACACGGTCATGAGAAAAACCGATCTGAGTCACACATGAGCAAAAAAAAATCAGATTTGGGCCACATTTGCCTGCAGTGTGAACATGGCCTTTGTGACCACACCTTTAGGAAATGATTAAATGGCTTTGGCTAGACGCTCACCGCATCCTGGAAGGCGAAGAGCGCCACCTGGAGTTGGCTGATCGCTGTGCTGTCAAAGTCAAGCTCTAGTTTGAGCTGAGAGAGGGTGCTGGCAATTATTTTTCTGTCCACCATCCTCACAAAATCTCCCAGACTTGCAACCAGTGTGGAGATATGCTGATGCTTCAGTTTGGTCTCCTCAGACCCCTGCATTGAGACAGAAAAGGGACACAAATCACTTTTAAAAAATTCAACTGCAAAATGGCAAGATTCCTTAGGGCTGCATGAACACAATCTTATTAGAAATAAAGATTTCTCTGATGTTCTACTTACACTAAAGGTTTAAATTTAGGTAAATGAAGCATTATGTGCAGCAGAGTGACGACTCTTACAATGCATCTCATTGCTTTTACAAAACAGGTTACCATACAATGAAAATGTTTTTACAAATTCATTATGACATTTGAATTCATAAAGTGTCAAGCTTCCATTAGATTGAGTCCCTGACACGCAAACTGAAGTTAATAGTGCTTTTTTGCGATTTACTGTTTTTCACACAAGTGTTGATGCTGTTTTCGGGTTCACCTGTGTGAGCGCTTCTAGCAGGTGAAGCACTATTTTCTCTTTGTCCTCAGTCAGGATTCGGTGTAAAGTCGCTCTCCTTTCACTGTCTTTCCTCAGCATGAAGAAACCAGAGTCCTTCTCTTCTGGGGAAGGTGGTGCGCTGTGGTCTTCAAAGTTCTCCACAGGAATACTACAACAATAGAGTATATTTACAGATTTACTACAAGCAGACACAGTCAACGCAAAATACATCGTAACACAATAGAGTATTATGTACGCTATAGTGAATCTTAATACTCTCTGCTGACCTCAGGAAGAGGGAGCGGTGACCTTTGACCTCTCTCTCACTGTAGCACTTGGTGCTAGGTTTGAAGATGAAGGGGTTTGTGCAGAGCTCACTGTCAGGTGAGACAGATCCGTATTCGCTGCTGCTGCTGGTGTCCTCAACCACAACGGGGACGGGAAGAGATATGCTACGCAAATACTCTACAAGACACAACCAGGATAATGTCCCATCATAAGTCACTCTCCTAAAACATAGTTCTGAGCAGAGAAAAGCTAAACTATATTCTCTTTGAAACGACTGATGCAAATGTTCATTTGACCTTTGCATCTTTGTAGACCAGATCCTTGTGGAGCGGTAGCTAAATAAAACCAACTTTATATAATATTCATGTAATAAATTAATACATACTTTATGTTGTTTTAGGTTGACAAATTTGTTCAATATTTGAGACATTTGTAAATGTAATACAAATGTAATACATGCATATTGTTCAAAATGTGCCTATTGGTGGAAGTTATATGGCATTTTGCACATTGACTAATTTTGTATGTGAGAATAAAACAAAATAAAATCAATGTAAGTGACTTTTTGATTAAAAAAAAAAATTGTAAAAATAAGCACTGGTTATATGTTTTGAAACAAACAAGACTCACCAGGTCCTGGTGTAAGAGCTGTTAAAAAAGACAAAAAAAAAACAACAAAGCTGAGAATACATCATTCAAAATTCAATTTAAAGAATTTTGTATTTCTTAATTTGCTTTATGTCTAGACAGTGTTCAAAAGCCAACAATAAACATTAAATAGGCATTACAAAACTGAAATATAAAATTGATTAAATTAAATAAATACATTAAAAATACAGCAAAATTGGTAACAGACTTGAAAGTAACAAAACTAAAGTTATATTAGTAGCCTAAGTTAACCAGCCACTCATTTTGGCCTAGACAGTTGGGACTGGATATTAATAGATTTCCCATAAAAAAGGGTCATTTGATCTCAATAATTTTGGTAATTAATTTATTCATAAATTCTGTAATTCGGAAACCAATATTTACTTGTTCTCCCATCATGTTGTCCAAATGATTTTGGGTGTCACTTTTTGGATGTAACAATTTGAAGTAGTGTAACATTTACTAATGGGAGAAAATTAAGCTAGAAAAATGTTTTAAATGATCTGAAAATTCTAATTCAATAGTTTGTCAAATTCTGTCACTACTGTATTATTTTAGTCACTGAAAACAGTCAAGAGAGTCAAGTCCAATATAAAATAAAAAATAAAAACAACAGAAATAATAAGAAAGATTAGATTCCTGTTTATTCCCTAATTTGTTCCCTATTCATGGAATGTAGCATCTGAAATTACTGCTTGGTATAAGGGGTAATGTCCATATAACACACAAAAACACCTGTGAAACTGCTGTTCTTTGATCGTTTTTTGCGTGATGTAACAGTGAGGAATTCGTGGGTGAGTAGATCATTGGCCGTGGCTCGGCTGTCTGGGTCAGGCTCGAAACAGCGCAGGATAAATGCTTTGGCTTCAGTGGACATAGAGTCAGGAATCTCCGGGTGGATTTTAAACATCCCAACCTAGACAACATACACCAGCCGTAAAATGCATTTTCAAAACTCTGGACACAACACAATTTCCTAATGTAGGATAGAACATGATCTTCACTTAATATCCTAATGATTTTTGGCATAAAAGAAAAATCGATAATTTTGACCCAATACAATGTTTTTTTAGCTATTGCTACAAATATACCCCAGCGACTTAAGACTGCTTTTGTGCTCCAGGGTCACATTTATGTTCAACAAAGCACACATTTAGTCCACAGTACAAAACTAAAAGAAAATGGTCAATTAGGCTACATATTATGCAGATAAATTTACTACATATTCAGCACACTGAACACCAAGGATTACTTCTGGACACTTCCCAAAGTAATCACGCCTGACCTTGAACATTGCTGCCTGCGGTTCCCCCAGCTCATAGAAGGGCGGTTTCCCAGTAGCCATTTCTATAATGGTGCAGCCCAGAGACCAGATGTCCGCTGGCTTGCCGTACCCACGCGGCCCTTTATCTATGATTTCAGGGGCCATGTACTGTAACGTACCTGACATACACAAACAGCATGGATGTAATAAATGACTGCTAATAATAGTATCTGCTAAGATACTAAGGATATTACTCAGAAGTCAATAGACCAAATCTGCAACACATATAATAGCTGTGTCCTTCAGTGTTATAGAAGAAGCATCAAGTTGCTATTGACAAAAGGATAAGTAAATATAAATGGCAAACGAAATAAAACATTCAGTACCAGTAAAGGTTTCGGTGCAGGGGTTTATCCCGGCAAGACGTTTGGACGTTCCAAAATCAGAGATTTTCAAAACTCCACTGTAGGTGTTTATCAAGACATTATCCCCCTGTAGGTCATGAGAGTAGCAACTGAATCAATCATTTCTGCTAATCAGTCACTTTTCTGTGCACTTTCAGAATCTCAAAGAAATGTGAATGAGATCAAAATTTTGCAGCAATATAAAGGCCTAAGAATGTATATGTGTACAGCTGAGGTTCTCATACTGATGAAAAAAAACAACAAGCCAAAACAAAAAAAAAACAAATACAAATATTGTCTTGAAATGTGGTAACCATAAATTGTCAAATGACTTCAAGTTGTTAAATTAAAATTATAAAACGGATAGTTCCGGTGCTTGATTCTGATTGGCTGAGCCACGTTCGAAGCTGTTGTAAATTACTCTACAAAGTAACATACACCTTTGTTTACTTCTGTGTGTTGCTCGGCAACCACTTTGTTGGAACTAAAATAGTTTCTGAGGAGCTACATTGTTTGGTGGAAGAATACCGTTTTTATTAATATCATTACACTTTATTTGCTCTGTTTTATTCTGTGAAACCTTACTACGTATATGGAATAACCGTTTTATAAAAGCAATAATCCCCGTGAAGCTGTGGTTTACAGTGAATTTATAACAGCTAAGGGTGTTTTAGGCACTCCGCTTCACATCGTGCCTAACAACGCCCCTTAGCTGTTATAAATATTATATTGCTTTAATAATATACAAGCTGCACCGCTTCAGGGGGGTGCATTCATTTTCAATAATCACTTCACATTGAAAACATGTGCGTGTTTAACCTAATTTTAGGATGAAGGGGTTATTACCTTAATGTCTCTGTGAACTATCTGGTTGTCATGCAGGTATTTTAGACCCTCCAATATCTGTTTGGTGTAGAAACCGATAGTTGGCTCATTGTTTTTTAGAGGACCCCACTTTGACCTGAGCAATGCTGACAGACTGCCTGTGATTCAAAAGACAAATACAAACATTTTTTTTTTTACATTTTGAATAATACAGATGAATTTTGGCCTAAAGATGTGCAAGAACACTATAAAGGTCTAACACGTCTGTCTCACCTCCAGGCACCTGCTCCATGAAGATCTTGATGAAGCCGTTCTCGCTGATGGAGCCTAGGTACTGCACGATGTTCTTGTGCTTGAGGTGTTTATGCAGGGCGATTTCTTCATGCAGAGGCTGTGAATATCTATCAAAACAGAGCCGTTACATGTGCTGTTAGATAAACTATTGCTGTGATTGCATGCATTTTTCATTTTTCTGTTTACATCTGCTTAATCACATCCTCCTAAGCACACATGAATATTGCATATTAATTTATATTATATATAACCTGTATATACCCTCAGATTAAATGCCTGATGCTCTACCGACTGAGCTATCCGGGCTCTTACTGATAACAGCATAATGGCAAAACAGATTTGGCCGACTAAATCCCAGCCAACACACACATTACACATGCACATACAACTCCCACAGCAACACTAGAAATTATGCCTGACAACAGTAACAATATTAACAGTAATAATCAGACTTTTTTACATTGGATGTATGCCATAATGAAGATAGGTTTGCCATAGTATACAGTGATACCGGTTATACTCAGAACAAGGACTAGAACATGTGCGGAATTAAATATGTGACCCTGGAGCACAAAAGCAGTCTTTAGTCGCTGGGGTATATTTGTAGCAATAGCCAACAATACATTGTATGGGTCAAAATTATTGCTTTTTCTTTTATGCCAAAAATCATTAGGATATTAAGTAAAGATCATGTTCCGTAAAGATATTTTGTAAATGTCCTACTGTAAATATATCAAAACTTAATTTTTGATGAGTAATATGCATTGCTAAGAACTTCATTTGGACAACTTTAAAGGCGATTTTCTCAATATTTAGATTTTTTTGCACCCTCAGATTCCAGACTTTCAAATAGTTGTATCTCAGCCAAATATTGTCCTATCCTAACAAACCATACATCAATGGAGAGCTTATGTATTCAGCTTCCAGATGATGTATAAATCTCAATTTCGAAAAAATTGACCCTTATGACTGGTTTTGTGGTCCAGGGTCACATATATATTCTCCGACTTCAACCCTGTCATTCTCTGCCCAATAATTTTGTGCTTCTCTGCTATTTCTTGTGAAACTGACTTGGCTTCATTCCCTATTATGTCCTTTGCAACATTGTGCATTTATACCGCATACTGTATTGAACCGATATGGGATACTTTTTTTGGAATATAGGACAATGCTGAATTTGATGCAATATCCCTGAATGCTTAAAATATTGAGGTTTGGTAATCAAAACAATTTAATATGATTCAACTTAATTTGTCAGTTTTCAACCTAGCGTCCAACCACACGACACTTTTGTATAAAAATGATGAAATTATGGCAAGTCTACATGAAGGTTTACCAGGCTGTGCAATGAGAAAAGTACCTTCTGTTATAGTATTCAATGAAGGTCAAAATTGTCAACAAATATTCACTGCAATGAAAGACATTCCTATGCAAAAGAATTAGATTTGAAAGTGCAATTAAACTTCTTTCCAGAAAAAAGAGAACTGTGGCTCACCTACTGTCCCGTTCAGGAATCTCTTTGATGGCTAAGCGCACCTGGTTACTGAGGTCACGACCGGCATAGACTACCCCAAATGTGCCCTTACCCAGAACCACCCTCTCTCCATGCTCAGCGTATTCATAATCATACTGCAGGCACACAAGAACACACAAATTACTCGCTGCCTTACCTCCCTGTTGTTCAGTACTATATATATAACAAATGTATACACCAATCATTATTTTACCTCTAAAGCCTCTGATTCACACTCAGTCTCTTCTGAGCCTTTCCAGGCCTCCTCAGTGAGAGTGTTTACCAGATCACAGAACCTACGCAACACACAGACCATCATTATCATCAGACATGTAACTCATACACTGACACACTGTAAAATCTAATTAGTTGGGCTTACTTAAAAAAAGCATGCAAACCGATTGCCTTGAAAAAACTAAGTAAAGTGAAATAGGAATAGTATGTTGTACTGACAAATGCTTAGTTAGTATAGTTTACTTACACGAGAGTTCTAGTAACTAAAAAAGAACTGTAGGAACATTGGTGTTTCATATTTTAGAGCACTCGCTGCAATTTATGAAAGAAATCAATGAAATCTGTATGTGGGAGTAACTGTAATTTAATTACAAATTTTTTCTCAGTAACTGTAACTGATTACAGTTACTTTTATTTTGTAATTAAATTACGTAATTCCATTACATGTAACTAGTTACTTCCCAACACTGTTGGTTCCTTTGTGGCTACTTGAATATTTTAAGTAAGTGTCACTCAAAACAGTAAGTAAATTGTTTTATTTGCCTTGAAAGTAGCTGTAACTTAATAAAACCTAGTAAGTATAACAACTAAGTAAAGATAACTAACTAAATCTAAGTAAGGTAAACTATTGGATTTTACAGTGCATAATCACAATTTACAACAAATAAAGTCAAATAAATGGCGGTGCACATGCTTTAAATACACAAAGATGCATACTGTGATTAACTTCTTAGTTTAGTATGCCCTACACAGTATAAAAGAGATGTTTGTTGATATTATTTTTTTTCATTGCAAGAGTCTGTAACTGTCTGGCATCTCTTTCTCTTGCCCCCTTAATGATTGAAAGAAAATACTTCACTAAATCTCCAACGTCTGATGCTTTTAGCAGCAGACAAAATCATTGGACGATACATTTTGCATTGCTAGTTTCTAGAATAAGCCTATGCGACAATCTAATCTGCAATTTCTGTCCTTAAATTGTCTCTGGCACTGTAATGAAGAATAAATGAAATGTGGGGGAAAAAATGCATTTGCAAAAACACACACATGGCATACCTTTTGCAGTGCATCTCTGTGCAGAAATAGATTTGGAAGTCTTCTGAGTTGTTCACCACATACAGAAAACAGCTGCGCTCATCAAATTTGGAGATGCTGAATGCAAAAAAAAGAAAGAAGGTTAAAAAATGCTTCATCATAGGTGACAATTTATGTTATATACTTATTTATTATACATATCAATGCTATCTTCTACCTCACCTTCGTCTAGTCAGTTCATGAATTCTCTTAAAAAATAAAGTGTGTTACTTACTGCTTAGTTAAAGTTTATTTGAGAAGACAGCATTTACCTCACACCTCGTACTGATGCTGCACTGAAATTCCACTCGTGGATCCCTATACCCTAAAACAGAGAGAGAGAGAAATTGTTTTCATCCAGATATGCTAATTACATAATTTAGCAAAGTTCAGCAGAACTGATAGCATAGAAAACATCATAACATTTGCAGTCTGCAAGATACAGTGAATGATGTTCACAATAAACTGACTACTATGCTTCTACATTATATCTCATTGTTGAATACGCCTGATATTCAGGCTGCGTCCAAAATCGTAGGCAGCTGACTGGTTTCTTCACTGCCCTGTCAGGCAATGACTTTGAAAACCTCTCAAAATTTATTTCGGACAGGCTTCTGAGGCAGCATAATGGTCTAATGATGTACAACAAAATATAAAGACAGCTGGTGATATAAAGCAAATATTTCATTACTACAATACTAATTTCTCACTAGAAATCAAATTAAAAGTTGAAAAGTTGTTCAAAAACACATCAACAATCACTGGATTCAGGAAAATCTTGTTGCCTTCCTACCTCTTCAACTTTTGTAACTTTCGGACACAGCCTAGTGTAACTTTATAAATATAATAGTAATAGTACAATTTTGGGACTGTGTTAAATTTACAAAGTAAGTTTGAAATGTTAAATTGGTAACATTTTAGATTAGGGACCATATATTCACTATTAACTAAGAGTTTTCCCTCAATAAACTCCTAATTTGGTGGTTACTAATAGTTAGTGAGTTAGTTGTTAAGTTTAGGTATTGGGTCGGGTTAAGGGATCTAGAACATGGTCATGCAGAATAAGCCATTAATATGTGCTTTATAAATACTAACAGACAGCCAATATGCAAGTAATATGCATGCTAAGAAGCAACTAGTTAATAGTGAGAACTGGACATTAAAATAAAGTGTTACCGCTAAATTTATAGTTAACTTTGCAAAGTAACTTTGGGACAATGTGTTAAGTTTACAGTTATAACAAAAGTCTGGGACTCTGTTTTAAGTTTACTGTTCAATTTCAAATGTAAACCTGGGACCTAAATGTTTTAGGTTTACAGTTAGATTTGTAATGCAAAGATTCATAAATATATGTGTAGGCATTATTAGATTAGCCAAAAATGTTTATTAAATGAACACACAAGAGCCGAGGGGGGGTCTAAAACTTTATACACAGAAAAATCTGCCAAAACTGTGGTGTGCTGAGTGCTAATTCTGTACCGATAATTTAGTAGCCCCAGTTGAGTGTATTTTTTGGTGATGTTGTAAAAACAGTATATATTAATAATTAGTGCACTAAAAGGGCTAGATACAGAGTATCTGCCAAGTTAAGAACATTTTTAAGACTTCAAATAAAATGAATATATTATGTCCATACTGAAGAAACTTAAAGGGGTCATATGATGCGATTTCAATTGTTCCTTTCTCTTTGGAGTGTTACAAGCTCTTGGTGCATAAAGAAGATCTGTAAAGTTGCAAAGACTAAA